TGTGTTTCTGTGTGTTTCTGTGAACCACTGTAAATAAGCTCACTACCATCGAGTTAGCCTCTGATGCCTAATGATGCTCTAGGACAGGGTAGAACTGCCCCGGGGGCTTCTGAGACAGGGACTCGTCAAGGGGGTAGAAAGCTTTGTCTTTCTTCCTCAGAGTGGCTGGTGGTTTCAAACTGCTGCGCTTGTGGTTAGCAGCCTGACATGTAACCCATGATGCTGCCAGGCTCCCTTTAACACAATAAACAGACCGAATAGCTGTGAATTCCTAGAGAGCAGATGGGTGCATCTGACACTTGGGATGGAGATACAGTGGCCAGGCTGCCCTCTAGACCCTGGACAAGCAAGCAGGCTGTCACATGAGAACTCTTGATTGGGTGGGGAGCATCCTCAGAGGGGCTGCAAACACCTGCCTGTGGGGACCAGAGCCAGTTATCACAGGGGAGGCCGATGGCCAGGCAGCTCCATCCAGGCATGTAAGTGGCCTGTGGCCTTTCTGGGGCTACAAGGTAGATCTCAGGGCAAGAAACACCTGCCCCTCTGTCTACCTGTAGCACTCACTGAAGCCACCCACAGTTCCCCCCTGAGGCAGGCCCACCCCAGCCGGCACCCCCTGCACAACCTTACCCTGGCAGCTCCGGCTGTCCTCCAGCAGGATGTAGCCAGGTGGGCAGGAGCAGAAGTACGTGCCGGGCTGATTCACACACTCATGCTGACACAGGAACTCGGAGAAGCTGCACTCATCCATATCTGGAGGGGGACAAGGTACAGCTTCGGTGGACGATCACAGACAAGGCCAGCTACACAATCCCCTTCTCTCTGATGATGGGGCTGGCAGCTTTCCTGCCAACACGTTGTTAGTCACATCTTGAATGCTTCTCCTGACGGGGCACTCACTACCTATCAAGGAAGCCCATTGCTCTTTGGATGGCTCCAAGGACTAGAAGCCTCTTCACACGGAACTCCCCCTAGCTCCTGCCTCTGGCTCAGCTACGTCATCTGTTTATTACCGACTCAGTTCACCGTGTCTGCGAACTCACCCTCCACCGCTCACCTGACCCAGGGCCTGGGGTTCTTTTGCTCAATGGGGATTTCTGGGTGCAGGGCTCTTTTCTCAAACCCCAAACGCATCTGCTGGCTCTCAGAGGCCCCGTCTTCCCAAGGGGCAGCCTTAGCTGTGCCAGTGGCTCCCCTCCAACAACCCCGCTCCCTCTGAGTAGCTCAACAATCTCGTTCTGAAAACTCAACACAGAAAGTGACATAGCCCCAAGACCTGCAAGGTGCAGGTGTAGAGGTGTATGTGTGTGTGTGTGTGTGTGTGTCCCCGCGCGCATGCGTGACAGGAAACAGTTGTCATCTGAAGGATTGCAATGCCACGTGTGTCACAGTGGGCTTCTCAGCGGCTGATCTTTTCGGAAGTCGGTCTCCAGCCCTGTGCCTCGGGGTGAACTCAAACCTAATCTTTGGCTTAGCCACTTGCATCTCTCAGGGGCTCCTCCTTAGAGCCACACCGACCCCCGCATCAACTCCAGTTCCTCTCAGCCCTACAGGACAGAGAACTAACTGCCCCACGGAGGTTCTAAGGCCGCCGACTTGGTAGAAGCCATGATCTTTCTCCCAGGGAGCTGCTGGTGGGTGCAAACCGCCAATCAGCTGAGCACTTAACCACAGCGCCACCAGGCAGCTGCTTCCATCTGGCCAAGGGGTAACATCATATTCATGTCCAGACACCTCCCCAGAGAGAAAGCCCTGGGCTGTGGTAGGGTGGGGTGCGACGGTCTCTCAGAGGCGCCCTGGGACCAGGGATGTGGGAGCAGGCGGGGCTGGAGATACAGGGTGTGGAGGTGGAGTCAGAGCCCACGTGACTTTCCCATGATGTGCCTGGGTGGGCCCCAAGAGCCAGCTCCTCGGCACACACAGCGTTTGGCTCCGAAGTCCCAATCCAAGCCTCCTTCAACAAGCAGCAGCCAGAGAAAACATGTTTTTCTTTCATTTGTTGTTTCCCCAAAGCTT